TGTTATTGACTAGACAGGGGGTTTACATTGGTTATTAGATTTACTGAACTATTATTACTCGTTAACTAGAAATAATTATACTAGCCTCATTAATTGATATACTCTACAAATAAATATGGTACGCACTAAATCTTCTCAGTTAATTATAATTCTTGCTGGTCGTTACCAGATTAAATAAAAGGCAAAGTCACTATGCGACCGGTGGTCATTCGGTCAGTCCGTTTTGGTGTCAGTTCACCTCTGGCTTTCATGAGCAGATCGTAGTTACTGTTAGAGAGTTAGGATTTTGTCAATAATGAGCGCCCTTTCTGAAGAAAAAGAGGTCTGTCATTTGGCGTAGTCATTTCCGTCTATTTTCAATATGTTCTTAATGTTTACAATTCTTCATGTACATGACATGGTAAAATAACATACATATACATATACCATACATACAAGGCTTCTGTCAGCCTAGGCTGAGATCAGCACGTCTTGCCCCATCTTAAAAGTACCTCGCGTTGCAAAGCAGCCCAGTCACTTGAACGGTATACGCTTGACCATCGCCAAGTTCAGGCCTCTGTCGCTTCGATGAAAGTGGTAATTTCGAAAAGAGAAACTCCAATGAGCTTTCAGATTTGTGTCTGAAATCGAATCTATGTGTAGATTTTGGCTATTTATGAGCCTATAGCGCTGCCTCCGAATGCCGTTTGAATTAAACGCTATGAATTTGAGAGTCAGAGTCAAAATAAAAGTTACATTGCGACTGACGGTCGGCCAGTCTGTCTGTCTTGGTGTCGAGCCCCAGATGTTTATTCTTATCTCCATGATTTATTCTGACCGTCTTACAGTGCACACATTTATTCACCTCACTCTTCTCTCTCGCACTACATGTTTCAGCACCAAAGTGCCATCTTCAGGTGCTTTTCTATGTACGTCGAACCACTGCATTGCATGCCCTGTTGTCCTTTTACTAAAATGACTAAAATATATATTTGTCATATATAATGATAAATTTTAAATATTAAAACTGTTCAGGATTTGTCATTCTTATGTCGTACCTCAATACGCGAGTCACACCTACCTTCTTCTATCGGAGTATTCTTCCTACTTTCGTGTGTGTATTGTGCTTTGTGTTGTGTTGTTTGTGTTCTTGTGACTGCGTGTGTTATATTCTTTAGTCTTATATGAAAGTGATTGAGGGTAGCTCTTTCTAAAGGACCCAACAGAGTAGGTGTCTTCCCTCAAGTGAAGACGGAAACAGATCCAATTTCCGAAACGTTGTGTTTTTAGTTATTTCTAATCCGGACGATGGACAAAGTCCGAAAACCCAGTATCTCTGTATGAAAGTTACTGTCCTGTCCATCTGGGACGCCCTCTCTGACGAGAGGTCGAGTCTGTCATTTGTCAGTCATAGTCTGTATCACTAAGTCCATTGTCAGTATTTACATATATTTACAAATTTAATCTTAATTCTTATTCTATGTGCAATATATATACAGGGCCTGTGTCAGTCCAGGCTCAGTACAGCAGATTATGCTCTATTTCTAGTAGTATTCGCTACGACGGCAATCTCGTCACTTGAACGGTAGTATGCCTGACCGCCGGCAAGTTTAAGCCTCTTATACTTTTTATGTCGGGCTTCGCATTGTCCAATATTGCGAACATTCTCATTGTCATGATTTTGTATGACTTCTGCTTGTGGCCTGCATAATTTTGTTATACGTATATAATCGTATACGTAAGGGATTTTGAACGCCATGTAGAAATCGCGGACCGGTGTGCGTCTTGGAAAGTTGTTAATGGTGTGGAGAACATTGTTTTGCAGGCGCTGCAATTTCATTAGATGGGTGTCTGCCGCATACTCCCAGGCGGGACTAGCATAAGTCATTACGGATCTGACAGAGCTTTGTGGAGGGTCAGTTTAATGTTAGCGCTTAATCGCTCACTTTTGAATAGGGAATGTTCTCTAATGAATGTTCTGAAGGTCTTGGCTTTGATCATTTCTATGTGCAATCACCATGTAACTCTCTTATTGAAGATTACACCTAGATATTTCGCACTATTTACAAATGGTATATTTCTTCCATTTAAAGTAAGACAAGACGCAGGCGGTTGACGACTACGAGAGAAGTAGACCCCATCCCCGTGTCTTATCTTCGTTAATTTTAATATTCCAGCGCCCACATCAGGGCTCCATTGAGCTGAGACCGCGCTGGAGTTTTCTAACAATAAAACCCTTCTTGCGGTCTGTCGCACACAGACAGGTGTCGTCACATGATTTGAACAATATGCGACAGACCGCAAAAAGTGTGCTATTCTCAGAAAACTGTAACGAGGTCTCGGTGCTACTGTGATGAAGATAAGACTCAGGCCGTCTACTTTTCTCACAGACATAGACAATCTGAGGCTCATCTTAACAGTCATGCAAAATATCTCGGTGTTAAGAGGATTAGTGAATCGTGAATTTGTCAACACGGGAAAGGAAGTTGCTGTTGACTGATTTTGTCAGTTCCGTCATTTGTTGGACAGTGGGAGAAAAGCTACGAATTTCAATATTCCAACTATACGAATTATTTATATTAACGGTGAGATGATATATATTTAAATATATATATCATTACAGTTATCTTGTAAATGTTGCAGTAACTTGAGAATATTAACAGATATTTCTTTCTGTTCACAGGGAAAAGGCAACAGAGTTAGGAAATATACTATTGGAACTGAAATTATCGTTTGTTGATGCTGTGTTGAGTTACAAGGAGTCTTTTTTTTCGTTACATGCAAAAGTTCAGAATTAGCAACAATTTTGATGAGAGTTAAAGAAATAATCATTTTGTTTCACAAGTTACTGAGTTTCCAAGAATTTGAATTGTTAATTCATATTAGTACTGATTTTTAATTTCTGTAGTTACATTAGAAAAACTAATTAGAAAATTAATCTGTTCTATAGATCATAAATTATAAATAATGTACAGATCTTAATTTATAAATAAATTTTCTGTTATTTATAATCAGTCAATTGAAAAAGGCCAGAATTGATCGGCGTCAGTGCCCTTTGAGCTAGGCTTCGTATAATATCCGTAGAGAGGGGAACTGACTGACAGTAGTCGAGAAGGTAAAGTTGAAATTATTCTGGTGTTAATTTGATTATTATTTGATACTGTTAGTATAATAGTAATAATAATAATAATGTTAAAGTATCACGTAAAGACACTGGCGAACGGAATAAATGTACTCAAGACACTACCCACTAGATACGGGTTTCTGTGAAAGAGAGAAAGAAGAATAAATAATGGAATGCAACGACACACAATACACAAGTTTACATATTTTTGAAATTTTAAAAACAATTTTTATATTACATTTTAACATTAAAGAGAAACTTTTAAATAATAAACGCTTCAAACGTACACTCCTCGCGGTCTCTCTTCTCCTATAGTGCAGTGTAACAGTTTACGCAAATCATTATGTATATCTGATGATGGCCCATTGTGGCTGAAACATGGCGTTAAATTTGCACAAAAGCATGAACTCGCTGGTGGTTTAAACGACAGCATGTGAAGCTGCGTTGAAGATTGTATTCTGTGTATCTTTGTGTATTCAGATTGTCCCAAAAAATGTACACACACTGGACATCTTGACAAAAACATCTGCTTAAATCATTATTGATATATCTTCTGTTCAACCGTGAAAAGGTCCGCAGAAAACGCGTATAACAAACTTTAAAATGTAAACGCCGGAGTTTTGAAATGCTGGTAGCTTCAGTTGCCCGGAGTTTATTCAAATGCTCTCTGCTGGTGCACGTTTAAATGTCCGCTGTTGCTCTGCATTTAATGTCCGTTCCGGTAAGGGTGCTTGCACTGTATTTAAAATGCTGCATCTAATATAATTTTTATGAAAATGAATGAAATTAACTTTGTTTCTATCAGCAATGAACACAGTGTAGCATATTATAACGTAACAACAAGCTATTTTTATTTTTCTTGTAATTCTGAAGTATACTGTAGAAATTGTTTCCCACTTCTTCACATTGTAGTTCTGCATTGTAAAATCATTCCTGCTTGAAATATTTTCGCATTCTCTGGTGCCATAAACCAGCTGGAAGCAATAAAATCATTTGGTTCTCTGCTGGCATTTTTACATTTTTGTTGCACTCTTTGGATATTCCAGTCTTTTGACTAAAGGACAGAGAAGTGAAAGCATGGCCCTTCAAGAAAGCCTAGAGGGAATGTTCATTATTTCCTACTTCAGTGCCAAGCCCTACCACTGCAGCTTCAAGAGAACTTTGCTCTTTCTATGGTGGCAACCAAACGCTTGCATCTCACCTTAGATACAGATTGCATTCAGTTTCCTGTGAGTTCACAGTGAATTTGAATACTGTAGTTTAATTTTATCATACAATGGCAAAGAAACGTTGTTTGTAAGATGATGAAATTGAAAGGCAGCTGAAGTGTAAGATATGTAACTTGTGACTGTGCTTTCTCGGGTGCTTCAAAGTATATTACACAAAGGCGAGATTCAGTTATATGGCGCTGGTTTGAAGCCTGTATCTATATACGTCGAGCAGATAACAACATTTTTTATGTATATTATATTTTACTACATTTAAAAATAAATATTTAGGATTGTTAATACGCCTCTACTAGCGGCGTGTGCCGCGCTTCCACAAGAAGCGTTTAAATGAGCGACTGCACAAACCGGGGGCACTTTGGCTAGACCATACTCATCATTGTACCGATCGGTGCACTTCGGTCGTTAAGGGTTAAACGGAACACGCATACCACAAGAGGAATCCATCAAATACCTACACCTTCACCTGGACCGGCGGTTGACCTGGCGCACACATATTCTCGCCAAAAGAAAACAACTGGACATCAAATTTAGTCAGATGCACTGGCTAATTGGCAGGATGTCAGAACTGTCTCCCGAAAATAAACTTCTAATATACAAGACAATACTGAAGCCTATTTGGACTTACGGTGCACCGTTATGGGGAACGGCAAGTACATCCAGTACAGAAATGTTACAGAGATTTCAAAACAAAGTACTTCGCGCTAGTCAATGCACCGTGGTACGTCCCAAACAGACTGCTACACGCCGATCTAGGCACATCCAAATGAACTGGCAACCACACTACTAAACGATGCAGACGAGCCCAGAAGACTTAAAAGACATAAACCAAACGATCTAACGAAGAGCTTCATATAAATGTAATACACAAAATAACAAAGTCACACCCGAAATAGATCCGTAGAGAATGCTCACTGGAGCATTGCTCTCCCCGACATGTTCTCACTTAGTATTTAAGCTTTAGATTAATAGTACCGGAGGGTAGGTTCCGTGTCTCAAAGCGAAGGTGATATGCACGGATTTGGTTCGTTGGCCTTAATTCTCCATCGTTGTAGCCATTCTTCGAATTGGTCTCGGTGTGTTTGCAGTATCCGGGATGGTTCAGTAGGGTTCTCGTGAGACGCTAGTATTGTTGTGTCGTCGGCATAGGTGGCAAGCATTTTTTGTCCGGTTTCTGGCAAGTCAGCCGTATATATGGAATATAACATAGGCCCAAGGATACTTCCCTGCGGAACTCCGGATAAGACAGGGTATAAGTCGGTATAGGCTTCGTCGTATTTAACTAAAAAAGTTATGTCGGTAAGGTAGGAATTTAGTAAGGAATACACTGGATGTGGAAGAGCGCACTTAAGTTTGTATAATAAGCCTATGGGCCAGACTTCATCTAAGGCTTGGCCTATATCAACACACACAGCTGAGCAGTTGCGCCTGTTTTCAAAATCACTATGAATTTGGTTTACTAATCGATGTATTTGTTCGATCGTTCCGTGACCTTTTCTGAAGCCAAATTAATGTGTAGGTATGAGCTAATTATCGTCGATTTCAGGTACTAATCGTTTGAGCAGAATTTTTTCCAGATCTTTGGAGAGAATCGGCAGGAGACTAGTGGGTCTATACGATGCAACATCTTTTGGATTTTTCCTGTTTTCAAAATCATGGCTATTTGCGAGACTTTCCATTGACAGGGGAAGTATTCGAGTCGTAAAATTGCATTGAACATGTATGTTAGTACTTTGAATCCTTTGTCGGACAGTTCCTCTAGTATTTTGCCGGTGATGAGGTCAAATCCCGGTGCCTTTTTTGAGCTAATGTCATGGAGTATGATAGTTTCTACCTCTCTTTGAGTGGTTTTTTTTTATTGGGAAGGCCATCTGAAATGGAGTCTCGAGTTGTTTGCTAATTTCCTCTTCAGCTGCTGGTAGTTGGGATGGATTCGATTGGAAAACTGTGCGTAGTTCTTCGGCAAAAGTCGTAGCCTTTTGCAGGTCGGTTCTAGCCCAGGTGTTGTCTCGTTTCCTTATTGGTGGTATATGCAGTTTAGGTTGTTTTAATTTTACAGGTGGCCTTCCACAAAGAGTAATTCGTGGCTTCGGTTGGGGTTAGTCCTCTGAGGTATTCTTGTATTCAGTCATTTTTTAACTTTTAACTTTTTAAGTTCTTTTGCAAGTCTGTTGTACTTTTGTCTATCAGCTGGACTCCTTGTTAGTTGCCATCTTTTTCTAGATTTCCTTTTTTCGCGGAGTTTTTCTTTCAATTCTATGAGGCATTTTTCAGTGATGAGTGTGTTATCTCTGTCTGCTGTTGCTTGCCTCGCTGCTTCTTGTATGGCTTTGGTTACGGTTTCCGCGGCTTCTTCTATCTCTAGTTTGGTTTTTAGTGGCATTTCTAGAGTGATGAGCTCATCTAGTTTTTCCCTAAATGTGTTCCAGTTAGTCTTGCTACTAGTGAGCGATGGTTTTTTTGGTTTTCCTGGGACGGAGGTTAGGATGGTCACTAGTATTGACGTATGATCCGAGGTAAGCTCCAGACATGATTCAACGAGGATATTTTTTGAGTCTAATAGAGTTAATAATAAGAATTTATGAAGAAACAAAGATTTAAGACACACTGTAAGAACAAGGAATAGGCGATGAGCAGATAGACCAAACTTGCGCCGACAAGGACATCTGCTAGTCCTTGTGTCCAAGCATCTTGGGTTATTTTCCATATGGGCAGAACTGATACTTCAAGAAACCCCACTGAGTTCCTTTAGAAATTGAGAATTAGCCTTACAGCGGCAAGACACTTTGAGAATTCGAGAAATGACAGTTTCTACCAGCCATAAGTCAGAAGTGGGAGTGCCAGGAGATCATTAGTGACCCTTCATAAGTTGCATCGCTGTCAATTTCGCCGTTTTGACTTTTAGGGCGAAATTCCCTTAAAATAATCTGTCATTGGCCGAAACCAAAATTAAGACAACTCCCCTTATTTGAATCAGCCTATCAGGGAAATTAGGAGGAGAGGAGAATAGGCAGATACAACTCAGTTAGGACCTCTGGCTCGGCAGAGAGTTCAGTCTAAGATTTTAGTCGTCTATCAACTTTTGAACTTGGCGGAGGCAAATCCCGCATCACACGCGCTAAAAGATAATTCTAAGAAGTACAAAGTTTGCTCTCATAACGACTCATATTGAGTTTTAGCTTAATCAACAAGAGGGCATTTTAGTGTAAGTGTAACACCAGCTGCTTATAAGCCAAAAATAAATCAGATTGTGAGAATTTATGCAGTCGAGTGTCTTTAAGAAGAACAACAATAAAGTGTTGTGGTGGTACAGTGAATTGTGTTAATTAGAGGTGCTGGACCCTCACTTGTCCGAGCCTGACCCGTATCCGACCTGAAGAGAGACTCATCTCCACTAGCTAGTCAAACCCACCGTCAGCTTTCACATGCTCATTCCTTCCACTTTACTAAGAACGGTAAACAGTCTCTAGCCGTTTGCTGGCGCCCATACTATCAGATCCAATCCTGAAATCCAAACACTAATAGGCTCAACTGAAG